CAGCGGACTATGGTCAGCTTGCAAAGCGAGTTTGCTGTATAGCATCTTATGGAATATTCTAATTGCAAACACTAGGGCTAAACCCTCCTTTTTGATTTGGCTATAGTTCTTTTCACCTCTATTAGACGTGTGTAAAACGTGAGAAACGGCTTTTTGCGACCCATTGTGATATTTATGGGGAATTACTGCTCCGATACCATAATCAGATGCATCAACCGCTAATATTCACTGAAGGTTTGAGTCATGCGGAGTGAATAATAGATAGGATGCGTAGATCGACTTCATATTTCTGTTAGACACTTGACACTCTTTATTTCAGTCCCATTTGGCATCCCTAGTTAACAGTGCATGCATATTTAGTACAAAGTGGCTGATAGTTAACCATTCCTAAAAATAACTGAGGAATTTTAACATCAGATGGTGCTGGTATATTCACGATGGCAAGTACCTACTCATGATCAGGTCTGTGTCCATGAGAACCGTCAATTGTTTCCAAGTGTAGAATACTCAACATAACAGATTAACACTCTTCTATTTTCATACGAAAACTATACTCTCTAATACCAGCTAAAGCGTCTTGTGAGTGATCAGTGTTCTTTTTCACTTCTACTGGCAATAATAATATTACCCATATATGTCATACCGAACGGTACATCTCCTAATATGGTGACAGTGACCTGATGAAAAATTGCAGGAGCACGTTTTTTTCACCAAAAAACAACATATTATGTTGGGGCAATACTCGGTGTATGTTTACTGTCATCAGGAATCTACAGTGTACTCCGACTTCCACCTGGAGATGTGCATCTGGAAAATCAATCTTCGAAAATATAGAGCACCCATTCAATTTGGTAAGCGGATCCGCTGGGATGGGTTAGGAGAATAGATGGGTATGTAGTGGTTTGTCCGCAGATACACGTAATTTATATTCAGATTACCTTACCACTGATAGTGTTGCTCAAGCGGAATAATTTATATGGGAAATAACTCTAAATCCCTGCCCTCTGTCAAGTTCTGTATCTGAGGCACCAGTAATCGAATAAGCTACCAATCTACTTCGAAGGATACAGGTTTCACTTTCTGCTGAACATATATACGAGCATTAATTCTCACATGTAGTCCCAATTTATCCTCAATCACATCTGAAAACTTGTCATGCGATTCTTTAACGCATAACCGGATACGGCCACTTGACAGTGATTGATGTGCTGACAGATATTATAGCATATTACAGACAGTTCAACAGAAATAAAACAATGGTAATCCCTCCGCAGCATTTCATTCGGTAGTATTGTCATTTATATGTTTCTTCTCCGTCTTGTGATTTAACTTTATTCAACTCTTTTTTTAACCGGATGTTATGTTCTTCAGTTTTCCTGACAATTTCTCGCAACAAACATGGCAAGCTCACAAAACATTAAGAAGCACTTTATCTAACCAGCGTTTGATTAGAAGCTTCGCTAGAAATATCGCGAAAACGAAAATTCACATGTAGAGTTACCGATTGGCTGATTACTACACTGCTACTATGTTTAGTAGCATTCCAGAATTTTCAGGAAAATCCAAGGACTTCCAAAATACTATAAAAACCCTATGTTTTCTGTACATAAATGAACCTTTGGAGTAAAGTGCTTCTCGCATATTTTGAGTCTTTTCTCTCATGTTCAAGTCGCTGTGTAGATTTAGCTTGGGGTATACGAGACTAGCTTAGGATCCGAGCATAGCGTTCAAATAAGGAGACTTATCAGGCTTCATGATGGATTTCTTGAAGTTCTAATGAGAAACTGTAACCAGTGGAGTCCAATCTATGTCTCAAATCAGAATCATGGAAGTCCTTATGCAGAAATTATGCATGTCCCAACAAAATTCTGCTTCTGCTGAATTACAAGTATCTCATACTGATTCAGTTATTAATGTAATCCATGAATTTAATTTTGATGGTGCAGCAGGTGTTACTTTTAAATCTTGATTTAAGAAGTATGAAGATTTGTTCCGTATTGATCTCTGCAGGCTGGATGACGCCACAAAAGTCAGAATACTTCTAAGAAAACTTGGGACAACAGAACATGAATGCTGTAGTAACTTTATTCTTCCGAAGAACCCACGAGACTTTAGTTTTGATGAGACAATTCAAACCCTGTCTCAAGTCTTTGGAGAACAGTCATCTCTATTCAATATCCGTTACCAATGCTTGAAGATAACGACAGAACCAGGAGATGACTAGGTGAAAAACGCAGGAATTGTGAACCGAGAATGTGAGAGGTTCAAGTTGTCGTCCATGATTGAAGACAAGTTTAAATGCCTGATATTTGCCTGTAGCCTGCGTTCACCTGAGGATGCTGACGTCCGAACAAGAATCCTAAGCAAGCTTGAACATTGTCCCAACATGACCCTGCAAGAAGTAACTACTGAATGCCAAAGGCTAGTGAATTTGAAGCATGATACCTCGATGGTAGAAAACGCTAATCAGTTTCTCCACGTCAGTGCTGTCAAGGGAAAATTCTTACAAGGTCCTACGTGCAATATTCTTTAAGATGTTCTGGAAATCTTACTCGTCTTCCAGAACGCGTTGTTTTAGGTTTATTTATCGATGTTGAAGAAGTATCAAGTTGTGTGTCGGTTGTCGTGTAGGGTACTACGAGTGTAGTGGCTGTGTCGTTTGCTTGTACCGAAGGAAAATTGACGTAGCTAGGGTTTCCTTCTAAGTATGCTGCTTTGAGTCGATCGATACTGATGCTATCGTTCGTGCCGTTCTTATCTACTACATAGTACTTAAGTTCACGTTGAAGAACTTTGAATGGTCCTTGTAAGCTGATTCGAGAGGTCGTCGATGTGAGTCTCGACGAACGAAGACGTGTGTACTATGTCGTAATTCGGGTTGAACGAAAACATCGGTTGATTGAGGTCGAGTGTGAGCAGGTCTAACTGAACGCATAGCGTTTGTAAGCCTACTCGTGTAAGAGTTTAGATCCATGTTCAATGAGAGAGCTGAAGGATCCACGAATTCTCCTGGGAGTCGGAGTGTCGTTCCGTAAACGAGCTGAGATGCCGTGTATCCAATGTCAGCTTTCACTGCATTGCGGATACCTAGCAAGACGAGTGGAAGAGCGTCTGTCCACTGTGAAACGTTTGAAGCTGATAATGAGGCTTTTAGTTGTCGATGAAAACGTTCTACCAACCCGTTTGCTTGTGGGTGGTAGGCGGTCGTTCGGAAGCGCGTGATTCCTAAAAGTGAGGTTAGACAACGGAAAAGTCCAGATTGGAACTGGCGTCCGCGGTCTGTAGTGATGGTTGAAGGGCAGCCGAAATTTGCTACCCATCGTTCGACGAAAGCACGGGCCACGGTTTCAGCAGTAATGTCCTTAATCGGTACTGCTTCTGGCCATCGAGTGAAACGGTCTACGCATGTTAGGAGATATGGACGTGGTCGAAACGAGCGTCTCTCGTGGTCGAGAGACAGATCTCTTACGTGAAACGCTCCTACGTGAGGATTTTGACCGACTACGGTCATTTCGAACTCCAATATATCTTGTAAGCGTGTGACATAGTTCGGCCATGTCAGTCGAGGTCGATTGGGTTTTTCTTTGATGGAAAAAACCTCGGCCTTAGAAGATCTAGTGATTTCCAAGATTCGATCGGCAGATGCAGCTAGTTCATCTATGGCATTGTTTTGAAATGAAACAAGCACTGCCTGCACCTGTTGAGGGAGTTTAGACAAGAAAAGTTGTCTAAATAGGCCATCATCGAAAGTTCGTTGGCCAATGACTTCTCTCATTCTAAGCAACATGTCCGTCGCAGAACGTGTGCGCGAGTCCGTGATTCCGTGCATGCGAAAATCGGCTTCTGCATAGCAGAACCAGGACTCGATATTGTCGGGCCAAAATGGCGTTAACTGAATCGAAATAGGGGGAATAGACTTAAACTTAAGAACCTTAGGAGAGTGTTCCGTCATAGTAATATAGATAACGAAAAATGTCTAAGTAAAATATATCCGAGAAAAAAAATCGCGAAAAAAGTGTTTCACAATATATAAAATTCAAATAAAGAATAACAATGAATAATAATATTTCAAAATGGAACAGACTCACAGTATATTGACTTGGTGTACCAGATCACGTCGGTCTCACCAATGATGATGCAACTCATGTTCTAGTTTTACAACTAGCTACCAGTAGCACCTTCTACATTCGATTGTTCCCAGTCAGATATAAATCAGAAGTCAGACGATAAGAGGCAGGAAAGATATATTTGTTTCGTTACCAATATATCGAGGACCTTTTCTATAAGCTGGCTAATGAAACGTAGGAGCTGTGTCCCACGCCGTGTTGCAACGTGATCTGGTACGGATGCATAACTGAAAGCCTTCAGTTAAACAAGTCCACTTAAACAACATGGTCAGCATCCAATGTCGAACACTTAATGAGCTATTGATTTTGGGGAATTATTTGCAGCTACAGCCTGTTTAAAAATCATCGATGTACTACGTGTTTCAGAAAAGGACACAAAAAAGTCGTTGCGAAACCCGGAAACGCCGTCAACCTAAAGTTTATTCTAAAAGATTCGAGTCATGTACATCCGAAGTGGCGGCAACTGTTAGCAGAACCAGTTCCCATAACCGTAGAAGGTATGTTTCTCTCGAGATTAATGGGCATGATGCCGACTTACAGCCAAACACAGCCTCCGATATAACACTTATAAGCAGGAGGACGTGGGACAAAATTGGGAGACCGAGAATATATTCAACTCATCAATCAGCACACAGTGCATCTGGAGGAATCCTAAACAGTGTTAGTGAGACTCATTGTGAGGTCACAGTCAAAGAGTTTACGGAGAAGGGAGTAATATTTCTGACAGAACGTCAATCACTCGACTTATTGGGGCTTGATTGGATAGAAAGGTTGAAATTATCAGACCGTCCCATTAACTCAATCTGCAACAACGTCAGTATGTCGGAAGTTGAAGAGAAAAACCTAGTAGAAGTATTATTAAAACGACATAAAATGGTATTCACTGATGGTCTTAGAGTGTGTACTAAATGTAAGGCTGTTCTTACCCTTCGACGAGGATCAAAGCCAGTGTTTCGACCTAAGAGACCCGTGCCATCAAAGGAATTCCGAGTGGTTCGCACAGAAAACAGCAATACATATCAACAGGTGAGAAAATAATGACTATTAATACATAGTGAATGCTACTTGAGTAAAATGTATTTGTTGGGAAATATCATAACCTTTTTTTCCTCAAGAACGGTTTAGGTTCCTTGACTGCCGAATATCAACATCCTGAAATAAAATATACTTTAACGTCTTGAGGTAAGGAGGGTCGGAAGTCTTATGAAGCATAAAGTCATCTGTAAGGTGAGCAATGTAGCTACATTGCATGGTGTATTTAAACATATGTAGAATTACATGGGGGAGTAAATATATTTTTTAATGCAACATATGAATTGCACTATGATTATGTGTACAATGTCACAGCAATGCAACATTTTATAAATTTACACTTCAAAACGAGAAAGAATAAACAACTATACATGTCCATCAAAGGCTCTATTTCTAAACCGATACAAGTGAAAAAGGAACAAACAATTCACTATTTCTGTTTACCAAAATTTGAGGTCTGAATAATATTGAATACTTTAAGAAATATTGGTAACAACTTTGAAAGTAGGGAAACACAAGGTCTTTTAGAGGACAATTCTAAGTGTCGGTCTGAAGGTATCATTTTATGTTCAGGTTTGGATCGCTGTTTTGTGTGAAGTACACAGTTTCTGTTATTTTTTACCTAATATTAGAAGGGATAATTATCAATCCCATAAGAACCAATCATCTGAAATTCACAAATAACAATACTATTCTCTGTCTAGAATAAATTTTCGAAATTAATATAGACGTATTTTGTAGATTCTTATCATGTATATGGACGAAGGGCTTTGACTTCTAGTTCAGTTTTGTTTTGTATGCTTCTAACGACGCTGACAATCGTATTTTTTAGCTGACCAAATTCGTGTTGATCTTGTGGAGATATGACCGACAAGCTTATTTTGTAAATAGTTTTTAATATTATTTGTATTTGTTTTGTCAATTTTTCACTGTATGTACATTCATCATTACTAAGCATCTATAACTGTGGATTCGTTGTACCAGATCAAAGCCGAACACGCATCATTTTGGGTGAACTTAAGTAAAGTCTCATTATTTATTGTATTTGTAACATTTAACTTATATATATTAATATTACTATTGGTTGTTATTAACCTTGTTGATATCTTTTGCTTTTATATATTGTCTGGTCTACCACAATTATTTGGTGAGCCCGACGTGGTAAGCTGTGGTTTTAATATGGTTGACCCCTAGAAGTTTAATGATCTCCTGGAAAAGGACAGATTGAAATTGGGGACCACGATCTGTTGTGATTATTGACGGTACTCCATAGTTAGTTATCCAGCGGTCGAGGAAGACTGAAGCGACTGTTTCTGCTGACGTGTCTTTAATGGGGCATGCTATGGCCCATCTTGTGAACCTATCTATTGCGGTGAGGATATGTGTGAAAGAGTTTGATGGTGGCAGAGGCCCAACTAAATCTAAATGCACGTGCTGGAAGCGTTTGTCAGGGATAGGGAACTTCCTAATTGGACTGTAGGTGTGTTTTTGCGTCTTACTGCGTTGGCACTGGAGACAGTTACGTGTCCAACGTTTAACATCCGAGTTGATTTAAGGCCACACAAAACGTTCGGTAATGAGCTTTGTTGTCGCATTGATGCCTGGATGTAAAAGACCGTGCAAGTGCTGAAATATTTTTCGTCTGCAAGCGTGTGGGACAAACGGACGATTGTTGCTTGTTGAAGTGTCGCACATGATAAATGCATCTGAAAGAGGAATTGGTACTGGTTTGAGATCTAAGCTAGACTTTTCTTCGCAGGCTTTTAATTCTGCATCGTCTGCTTGTAACTTAGCCAAGGTTTCAAGGCTGATGTCATGATTGAGTACCATCGTATTGATATCCCTCCTAGATAGTGCATCTGCAACAATGTTCGTGTGACCTTTGATGACCTTATGTCTGTGGTAAATTGAGAGATATAATCAAGTTGTCTTGCTTCTCGTGGGGAATGTTTGTCATACGATGTGCTAAAAGAATGGCGAAGGGGTTTGTGGTCTGTCATAATGATGAAATCACGACACTGTAGAAAAAAGTTGAAATGTTTTACTGCTAAATACATAGCTAAGAGTTCGCGTCCAAAAGTACTGTAACGTTCTTGTGCTGGCGATAATCTCTTGGAGAAAAAGGCAATGGGGGTAATCGTGTTGTTTACCCGCTGTTGTAATACTGCCCCGACAGCTTTTTGTGAAGCATCCGTGCATAGGATCAACAGTGTTGTGGGGTCAGTATTCAGGTGTTGGAGCATGGTAGCATTAGCAATCATGGATTTAGCTTTCTCAAATGCTACTTTGGCATTGGAAGGTAACTTGAATATTTGGTTCTTTTCTTTCTTGGTACCTCGATTATTTTTTTATAGACATTCACTATATGTATCTACATAATTTATTATTATTATTAATTGGCACGACACCATTTTTTGTTTTTTGACATTATGGACTCTCCTAATAAACTTATCGATATTGATAGCCCATCAACCAACCCCTTTCATTCATCACAGCCAGAAGATAATGTTTTAAACTCAATCAACGCTATTTCTGAACTAAGATTACCAACATACGGTGTTAACAATCCCAGGATCTGGTTTGCACAGGTTGAGGCATTATTTTTGGCGAGGGGTATACGTTCACAGGCGACTAAATAGGCCCACGTCGTCGGTGCACTACCTATAGATGTAGCAACGGAAGTCGGTGACCTGATAGATAACGAACCAGAAACGGACCCCTATGACAAAATAAAAGCCGTTGCTACATCTATAGGTAGTGCACCGACGACGTGGGCCTATTTAGTCGCCTGTGAACGTATACCCCTCGCCAAAAATAATGCCTCAACCTGTGCAAACCAGATCCTGGGATTGTTAACACCGTATGTTGGTAATCTTAGTTCAGAAATAGCGTTGATTGAGTTTAAAACATTATCTTCTGGCTGTGATGAATGAAAGGGGTTGGTTGATGGGCTATCAATATCGATAAGTTTATTAGCGTGCGTGAAAGATTGGTTGAAAGATTCCATCGCCAATTGAAAAGTTCACTGATGGATCAAGCTGACTCAAAGTGGAGCGATGCCTTACCGCTTGTACTCCTCGGTATTTGTTCAACCATAAAGGAAGACATTGGATGTACAGCCGCCGAGTTAGTCTATGGTACAACTCTAACGTTTCCCGGCCAACTGGTCAACTATGAACCTACAACGCACGGGGATTCTACTCACTTCGCAAGTCGCCTATTACAAATGATGCAGAACATTAGAGCAATATCACCTCGAGAATACAACAACCCAGTCCATCTCGATAAACATTTAGAAACGGGCAAATTTGTTTTTGTACGAGTAGACGCGGTGAAAAAGTCACTGGCACCACCATATGAAGGTCCTTATAAAGTAATAAAACGCACTCACAAATATTTCACTATCAACAAAAACGGTAATAATGAAACAATTTCCATAGACCGAATAAAACCAGCTTTCTACGAAGCCCCTCAAGCCACAGACGACAATACTGCGAACAAACAATCACTCCCATCAATTGCTAAGAAACAAGAGGAAGAGGAAAAACTTAGCACTACACCCTCTTGTTTAACACGATCTGGGAGACCTATAAAAAAACCAAAGCGTTATGTACATTTTGCCATATTAAAAAAACACAACTAAAACAATCAAAGCAAACAATTATCGAGGACCTACACTATCAATCTCATCTAAAAAATTTTTTTCCTTTCTACAGTGTACATAATCACATTTGTCCACAATTATTCGTTTTGTCACATTTTTTTTTCAAAAAAATTTGTTACAATAATAAACGAGTAAACTCTATTTAATTATTTATTCATTGTACGCCAAAATAAACAGTTCAATTTTTTTGTTGTGTGTGTGGGTGATTAACAGTTTTACACATTATTATCATTGTTAGCAAACCAAGATTTTAAATGACGGTATTCTCATGCTATGCCACATCACCGCTATTTTCACGCAATAACACACTGTATATTATTAACATACATGTCATACGCATCTCCACATTGTTAATTGGTTATTATAGTAAATATAATTTCTTTTTGTATAAAATTTTTATTATTGTTATTGTAACCAGTGTTACCTCCGGACACTCTGGGGGGAGCTATGTGGAGATATGACCGACAAGCTTATTTTGTAAATAGTTTTTAATATTATTTGTATTTGTTTTGTCAATTTTTCACTGTATGTACATTCATCATTAAATGATTGTACATGTTGTTTTAGTCAATGACCTTGAAGTCACTTTCCGTTGTGATTCCAACATAGCGTGGCATCTTCTTTCTGGCTAACTAATACATTAATACTCACACATCCCTCGTTCTGTTTTCATTCGAGATTGAGTTAACTTAGTTCTAAAACAAATATTATTTACATTCATAGACTGAGAAAGTGAATACATCATATCTTACTTTGGATTACAATACTGGGGAGATCATCGATACGTTTGGAATTACTAAGCATCTATAATTGTGGATTTATTGTACCAGATCAAAGCCGAACACGCATCATTTCGGGTGAACTTAAGTAAAGTCTCATTATTTATTGTATTTGTAACATTTAACTTATATATATTAATATTACTATTGGTTGTTATTAACTTTGTTGATATCTTTTGCTTTTATATATTGTCTGGTCCACCACAATCTAATCAAATTAGTTTCAGTTTCAGTTTGGAAAGAACAGGAGGCTTAATGGCCTGTGTTAGTCTTGGCAATGATAGTCTCTCAGCTGATCCAGCTTTCTTTTGAAAGAGTTGACGGATGGAGCCTCAACCACGTGTTGAGGTAATGAATTCCACTCGTTGATTATTCGATGGCAAAGTCGGTAGTCAGCTGACAAGTAATTCGTTCTGGGCTTGTGAAATTTTTTGGAGTGTCCTCGTAAATTTTCTGCTTTGGGAGACAAGAAGAATGAGAGCATATCATGTGCAAATTTATCACTAAGCAATTTGAAAACTCTAATCAAGTCGCCTCTAATTCTTCGATATGACAGCTGGAATAGGTTTAGCTTGGTCAGTCAAGTATCATGCGGGAGCTTCGCTATTCCGGGAATCAGCTTAGTTGCTGTTCTCTAAACCCTTTCCAAGAGTTCACTGTCTTTTTTTAGACAGGGGATAGCTGCTTGTATGCAGTACTCAAGTTTAGGACGTACGAACACTATACAAAGTCAGAAACGTTTTAGCGTCGAGATGCCTAAAAGCCCTGCGTATGGACCATAAAGTTCCAAAACCTTTGGCTGCTATTGCACAGCAGTTTGCAGTAGTCTTTAAGTCTTGACTAACGATGACTCCTAAGTCATTGTATGTCTGGACAATAGGTAGTTCAGTGTTATTCATCGTGTCTGTATATGTACTCTGATGGCCAATATGCATCACAATACACTTGGAGGTATTTATCGGCAACTGCCAGGTTTGGGACCATTCAGATAATTTCTCCAGGACATTTTGGAGTTCTAAGCTATCACCCTTACTTTGTATCGCTCCATTGCTCTCCACATCGTCAGCATAGAGCAAGACTGATGACGATAGTAGACGAAGGAGGTCATTTACGTACAGGAGGAATAACACTGGCCTCCAAACTGTACTCTAGGGGACTCCACTAAGCACAGTTTCCCAGCTAGACAACTTGGAGCTCAACCGTACTCTTTGTTGACGCCCAACTAGGAAGTCTTTTATCCACATCAATAGGTTGCCTCCAATTCCAACATTCCTTAGCTTATATAAAAGCCGGTTGTGCGGAACTTTGTCGAAAGTTTTGCTGAAGTCGATGTAGACTACGTCTATAGGTAACTTTTGATCCTTAAGAGCGCACAAACTTTCATAATCGACTAATAAGTTAGTGAGACAAGAGTAACCTGTTCTAAAACTATGCTGCTTCTCCGAGAGGATCCGGTTTTCATCGAGATACTTAAACAGCTCCTTCCGAATAATCTTTTCTATGATTTTAACAACCACACTAGTTAGGCTAATTGGTCAGTAATTCTCAGGCTTATGTTTTATACCTGTTTTGAAGACAGGACTTACTATAGCGTTCTTCCAGTCTTTTGGTAGACGACCCTGGATTACGGATAGATTGAAACATTTACTTAAAGGGTTCGCAACAAAGTTAGCCATTTCGATTGAGGGCTCTGGGTCTATTGTCCAATCTACTGATGATGCTGAGTGCATGATGTCTTGTATGTTTGCTTTCTAGACGTTAGGTCTAGATTGAGCTGAGGCGTGCTCGTGATCGACAGTTATATGGAAGTCAAAGGTTAAAACTGCATGATCACTTTTGCCTAGGGGTGGCATGTAATCCAGGTTGGCAACGTCATCCTCATAGTGAATCAATATAAGATCTAGTAAGGATGATGCAGAGCCGGGGTCATACCTAGTCGCTTCTTTCACATGTTGCACTAGGGCACATGTGATTACCGCATCAACTAGTTCCTGTTCGAAGGAATTATCCGACGATTCAGTTTGCGGATTTCCCCAGTCCACCATGGGTGCATTAAAGTTCCCTAGGATTAGACATCGACCACTTCGTGACCAAATGTTGAGACTACTTAGCAGGACCTCATTTACCTCATAGCCTGGACTGCGGTAGATCAAACCAAGCAGCAGCTCTTGTCCCTTCAATTTCAAGCGGCAACTAACTAATTCATACGTCCCACTATCATGGGATACATTGTCGGTAATGATCGTTAGCAGTGGTGGGTAGCAAAAGCAAAAGAGATGGTAGAAGGAGCTTCTATAGTTGATAGTAGACAACTATTCAGACTTATCAAGGAAATGGATGTTAAGAATCTAGATGTTAGTGAGAATATCCTAGAAAAAGATGGAACTATTCGGTCATTCTTGAGTGCTGTTAGACGTATAAGGGCGGTTATCACTTCCCGGTTGCCCACACCGTGGAAGGGTTCTTTTAGAGGTACCTGGAAGGGAATCGGGTCGGGGGTGGTCTTAGTGGCTTGAGAGCGTGACCACAGTGCCCAAGAGACAACTGCTTGAGGTCGGTCACAGACCTTTTTGTAAGTAATTTTCGTGTTAGCTCCGTACTTGTTGGGACCTTGCTTCCGGAGACAGAAATTTGTGGGATAAGGCGAGGTGTGCATTTTTAGGGTACCTTGACGCGTTGACTCAGATCTGTCCTGAAACAATATTTTGATTTTTTTCTTTTCTGCTTTGAATAGTGTGTTGTTCCTTTGGCTTGACTATTTCATTCAGTTTCACTAGTTATCGGAAATACGCTTGGTTTTTGATATGATTCGTGTAAATTAAACCTAACATGTAGGTTTTGATTGATTGGATTATGTATGACCTACCAACTAATATCCTTCGATCGCCTATGACAGTTGACCATGTTTATTTCGTGTTTGAATTATGTATACAAGCAAGTTATTTTATGATAAAAAAATACTTTTCTGGCTTAGTAATCTCGTCTTCGATTTCTAATCAATATGGGGCTTGAGTTGATAGTACGGTCTTGTATGCATCCATCGCTCAGTCGCATCATATCACTGCTTTTATCTATTAATTAACATTTGATTCATTGATCTTAACAGTACGAAATATAGTCTCATCAAATCATCAAAGGCGTCCTTCATAACAGTTACAGTTTCTGATAAAGAATGATCCAGGAGTGTTTGCTTTATTAGACATTGGGAGGTAATCCAGAACAGTATTATTTCATAGTCAGATTAAGTTTATCGACTCTTTAACAACGGGGGTTGTTGAGAAAAATTAGTTACCAAACATCATACATTTAACGGATGAAAAATTTGCAATTTTTGTATCAATCAACATCTTTGCGATAAATGTACGTAAAAAAATAAGAGTCAGTCCCTGCTATTAAAACATTTATATTCTAGTTGTTGTCCTTTTCGTTACTCATTTCCCAGGTTTTTAAACTTCAATTTGAAAACTACTCCACATTACAACTCAAACGTTCTTTGGAGCCTAGTTGTTTTGTATAAGCGCGTCATCTGTGAACTTTGTACTGTACTCCCTGATGAATCACATTACACACTAACAACCAATAGTTTTCGAAGATAATTCATCGGGCTCTTCAGTGTGTTGTATTATAAAAAAATAAAATGTCTGAGGAAGACCAAAATTCCAAGGAGATTGTATCATCGTATGATGAAATATTAGAGATTACAGGATTGTTAACTATGCGTGATAATTCAATACCATGTGTCACTGAAAAGAAAGAGACTCCTGATTCAGCGGATAATATCAATAATGGTGATGTTAATAATGATGATATTGTATTACCAATACCAAGTTGTACACAATTACCACTTAGTTCTAGTCTGGTATCCTTAATTGAAGATGGTGATCCGAATTGTCGAACAATTTCAATTGCTAAAACCAAAAATAATAACGTCGGCTTTACATTTACAGAAATAAAACAGGTATTAAATTTTATATATATATATATATATATATATATATATATAATATTATATAGGGAGAGAGAGAAAGAGCATAGAACAAAAGCAACAAAAAATTATTTTGACTAGTTTGCCGCTATCCAAGTGTTGTAATTCCATTAGTGGAATAGGGTCTAGTCCCAGATGTATGTACCTTTAGGGATTTTTTAGAGGAGAGATAAACATTAATGCAGTGAAAAACTGATTCTAGTGATTTTATTTCACTAACAGATTAGAGTAGACTATCCCAACGTCTTAAAAACTTACTAGTAGAGTAATTCATATAAAGAGAATATGTAGAATAAAATCATTTCACTAGTAGAAAATCGCTACAACTCAGGTGACTATATGTTTCTGAAATATTGTATCTCACTAATGGATGTAAAAGATAGTTTGTCAAGTTTTTTTTGGAGAAAAAGATTAAATTTATTTTGAACTTTTGTTTCTATAAAAAGTTGAGTCCAAGCTTATTATATTTGAACTTGTAGTTTAGATTACAATCATTCTCAAGAATGCCTTGGTACGGCCGAGAGTGGGTAGGATCCGCTCTCCTTCTCGAAATGTTCTCACATGGCCACGCGTATAGTGCCTCTGTCAAGAAAGTCCTACTCACTGCCTTCTCGTGGCATTACTGTTGTTTACGAAATTGAGGGAACGAAAAGCGAATATCCGGCGCTTTAACCGGATTGGTGGGCACGGAAAGTCCACCTAGGGGGGTTGGAAAACCCTGATTATCAACCAATGGACCAACCAACATGGGCCTCAGTATCCTGAGGGACTAAATGGCGTATGAATCAATCGTTGGTCACCTTCTACTATGGGACTGCATTTCCTCACGTTGCTCCACTGCCTTGTGGATCAGATCTTCAGGTCAAAGGGTCGGGGTGTGGCTTCCTAAGAAAACCACTTGCTTCAGTTTGGGCGTGTGGGCAGTATCACAGCCCTCACACAAATCAAATGAGATTTATGTGGCTCATATGTATCTGGTGCCACTTTGTACCAATATTTATGTGTTTAAATAAATAAATTCTCAAGAATGCAAAGTGTATTATCATAATCAGATATGCTACTATCATTCTTTTCTCATGAGGTTTTTTCTGTCCCCACAAATTGCACACATTATTTATTTTAAATTTGTTTTTCTTTTATTTAAAGGGTTTATTTGTTTCTTATGTAGACGAAAGATCTTCTGCAAAGTTGAATAAAGTACGTTTTGGTGATAAGATTCAATGTATAAATGATGTAGAAGTTACATCTTATAATCAAGCTAAACAACTTATTGAAGAAACACATCCAACTGTAAATTTTTCTTTTCTTGACTGGTAAGATAATGTTTCTTTTCTATCTCATTTAAATAGTTTCTAAGGGTGTTCTTAATCGTTATTTGGATCTGTTCAAGAGTGAAAATTAAATTTGCATAGTATTCTACTTGTTACTTAACATAGGAGGGATATATAACATCCAAAGTTACCTACCCTATGAACATAAGTACTGATAATGTTTGATTTGTATGAAGTGGAAAAGTGTGTGTTTCAGTTTGTGTGAGGTTTGAAATTTCTTTGTTCTTAGGATAAATTAGCTTCTGTTGTCAATGGGCACAATAATTGCTTGGTCATGTCACGATACGTTAATATGAAATATCAGAGTACTTGAATCGTTTTGCTTACTCACAAGATGAAAAACTTTATTTCACTTCTGGTTTAAATTAGTGTCCAGTTTAATACTAATAACTTGGGTGACATGGCTCAGGATCGATCACAGAGACGTTGGTGTATACACTCTTTGTCTTCCCTTAAACTGTGAGATTAAAATTACTTTATACCTTTCTTTCTACGAACTAATTCTTTTTTTCCTGTATCATATCTTTACATGCACTCTTTTTTAATATATATTGCTACCATTGAATCAACTGCTTTTATGAAGTTGGTGTTTATCTTGTTGTGTTAACGAGGTATGGAAACTTGAACCGATGCATAAATGTGCCTGGTCCTACGTTATCGATGACTGACTAACTGACTTAATACTAATAACTGATTTGGTTTAGATACGTTAAACATTCCAGTCGCTTGACGAGTTACATTAATACTAACAGATTATTGATTAACAAAGTCTCAACTCAAGTATTAAAACTTATTACACACAAAAGGTGTTTAGTACAAATAGGAATCCAATAAATGTCTCGCATAAAATGAAATGACAATATTTTTAATTAATCAAATGGAATAAATCTTAAAAACTAGGGTAAAAAAGTATTAACTGAAGCAGTCCAAGTTCACTTCAACGATCTATCATGCTGTTCATAATGGATATAATAAAATAATTGTTTTAGGATCACCATTGGCTTTTATTACGACGTATACATGATTACATTTTACGTAATCAGATCAATAATGTAAATAGTTTAAAACATAAATCCCTTCAGGTTCATTTAGTATTGTTTGTTTGAATCTTCCCATTGATGTTTAGGACTACAATTGATTATTCTTTTATTGGCATATGTGCATACTGTGTGTATTGCCTCGATATAGCCTTAATTCACAAGGATTGTAAGCAAAGATGAATAGTGGCTAGCAGTGGGATCCAGTTTGACGCGCGTTTCGTTCTATTTGGGACTCGTCAGCTGGATGTACCTGAATCTCAGAGTTGATGTTCACTCTGAGACTCGAACCCAGTACCTTTCACTTCGAACGCCATCACGTTATCCACTCAGCTACTGAGTCCTGATAGCTACTTGCTTGTGCAATGTGGTGAAGTTTAAAGTCACCTGGTATTCACCAAACAATAATTTAGTCCTAGAAGTTACCATTCCTTTATTATTCGTTTATATTTAATAGTTATCTCATACTGTAATGAAAAAGAACACCAGTGGGGACAATCGAATTTATTAAGGCACAAATTACAGACTTTCTCACTAAATTTTGATAACCATACAGTAAACAGTTAATTTGCAAAATAACAAGCAATTGTCTCAATCTTGATTGTTCCTTCTGTAAATATCAGTCCATCTTCTCTGATTTCATTGTTCATACATTTTTATACCGATTCCGCTTCACTCCTATTCTTTCCTTATCTATCTTCTGCCAAAATACATCTTATGTCTGTCACCATATACTACTTATATGGATATAAGTAGACCACATTACAATACATCTACTGAGCATTTATTTTATTTGAACATATAAATATTGGTATAGAGGGACACCAGATACATATGCGACGCACAAATCTCATTCGATTTGTGTGAGGGCTGTGATACTGCCTAGGTGCCCAAACTGAAACAGGCGGTTTTCTTAGGGGGCCACACCTTGAGCCTTCGACCTAAAGGTCTGATCCACAAGCACTGGAGCATGGCCGGCATCCGACGGTGTTAGTGACTAACTTCAACCGATCCACGAAATTGAGCGACACATCCGTCAATGTCTTCATTGAGTTACCATCTCACAACAGACCTGGTTGAACTCCACTGGTCACTGCTGAGGAGTCCCATAATAGGACGAAACTTCCGTCAAACAGTGCTTCTATGGTGGTCTAGCTTCAACTGATTCATGATCTCAACTATCAAAATTACTATCATATCCACAAAACCCCTTCTGATAATAACTTAGAAAAGTTTAGAAATTGTTCAAAACAATACATCGTCTGTAAATTCTTTAACATATCATGATTTATTCATACACTCTGTTTTCTGATTGACCTAAATTCTCTCAAGGTTAGTTTGTAAATTGGTTAAGTTCAGTGTTATAATTAAAATTTACTGTAATGAATTATTATAATATCATATTTTGGATAGATTTTACACTAAGAGTAAGGATTTTATGTCCTTTTACGTGCACACCATATCATTTCTGTTATTTATTTATTTAAACAAATAAATATTGATACAAGGAAGCACCCGAGATATATGCGCCACACAAATTTCATTCGATTTGTATGAGGGCTGTGATACTACGCACTTTCCCAAACTGAAACAGGCGGTTTTCTTAGTGGGCCACACCTCGAGCCTTCGATCTAAAGGTCTGATCCACAAGGCAGTGGAGCATCGTAAGGAGATGCAGTCCCATGGTAGCCGATGACCAACGACTGATTCATACACCATTTGTTACCTCAGGATGCTGGAGACCATGTGCACCATGAGTTTGGAATCAGGGTTTTCCAACTCCCCTAGGTGGACTCGCCTTGTCCACCAATCCGGTTAAAGCGCCGAACATTCACTTTTCGTTCTCTCAATTTCGTAAACAACATTAATGCCACAAGAAGGCAGTGAGTAGGACTTCCCTGACAGAGGCTATATATTCGCGTGGCCATATGAGAGCATTTCGAGAGGGAGAGCGGACTCCTCATTCTCGGCCGTACCAAAGCATTTAGGGGTTCACAGTCAATAAACAGACAAATATAGCAAATCAACTATACAAGTTTATTCATATTGTTTTTTCTTTTTGTTTATTTATTTATTTAGCCCTTATAGAGAAGTTAAAACAATTTATAAAATTCATGGAAAATGTGGTCTTTTCATTAATGATGGTATGATTTTAGATCGTACAAAATATTTTAGTGGAAAAAGTGATAAAATTCCATTAAATTATTATATTACTGAAATTGATGGTCATAATACGGTTCGTTTATTAGATGAAAAAATAGTTTTATTAGTGGAACATGCTAATTCACCATTCACTCTTCATATTGTACCTCAATGGTTTTATGAATATCTTGTTTTTGGGTAAGTGTTTATATATCTCCCATATTTTTTTTTTATTCCTTACATTTATGAAGTTGTTTAATTGTTTTCATTCTCTTTGCTGGAGTAGCTAGTGAGAGAAATGTAGAGTCTTCTGACTGCCTTAAGCCATAATAAGAGGATGTTCCAGATGCATTTTTCTCCACCTAAATGCAAAACGTTGCCTTAGTACTGGTTCGCATCAACACCTGAGCTAACGGGTACTAGGTAAGGATGGCAAATCGATTGATGAAGTAGTGAAACTTCATCAGTTGAGATGGCTGGGACAGGATATGTGTTACGTATGCCCAACCACCGACTGCCCCGACGTGCAATGTTTAATGGTGTAGGAGTAGGTTGGAAGAAAGCTATGGGCGGTCAGACCAAAACGTGGCACAAATCCATGAGGTCGCTCACTGACAAGTGAACTGAGCCAGGCTTGTAGGTGTAGACTACCTGGTTGAAATTCGCGAGATGATAGAAATCGATGGTTAGAGAAATTGAATGACATGGTTCAAAATCGTTTACAATGGCGAAGGTGCATCCACTCTTTGTGTTCTCCCTAATTCTAATCTTCTGAATTCTTCGTGTCCGTATCTTTTTTTCTCTTTCCTAATTTATTTCATTGAATTATGCTCCTTCAATAATATTTTCAAACCCTAATCTTTCCGATTACCGCTTATACTCTTACTACTTCTACCACTATGTGATTTGAATCGACAACTGCATCTCTGTGCTGATGTGATATGGCAACTCGAACTGATGTACGTACGTACGAAGTTGTACGTTGTGACTGACTGAACGAAAAGGAGGAAAGTAGTTCAGTGTGTTGGTCACTTCACTTATCTTAGAAGTTTCATCAGCCCTAGTGAATCGGTATCTGGATCCATGTATACGTATTTCAGGTTTTACGTTGTGTCTAACTGACTTCATTCATTATCCAATTTACTGATCAATTGTTTGGATTGAACCTAGTGATTTTAGTGTTGAATGAATAACTTATTCATTGGATGAATATAAGTCACGATTTAATCATTTTTAATACTTGTGAAGTGTTTAGAAGTTACTGAATATTTTCAGTTCGATTTAACATTTGTGTGTATGAAAAATAACTGATCCGAAAACGTCAAATGAAAGTTTCCTGATTGAAAAGAACAAACTGTCTAGATGAAAGCATATTAAAAAAGGATCTCAAGATTGAAGATGGACTTTGTTGTTGCTAGTGTCGAATAACATGAACCTGTTAGCCAGGTTATAAAGCCTTGATTTATTTTACTCTCTGTTTAGGGTCAAATTACATCACGCTAATTGGGTTTTTTTAACCAGTAAGCTGTAGTGGACAAATTGAGCTGTTAGTTTTTATTTATTTATTTAAACACATAAACATTGGTACAAGGAGGCACCGAATAGATATGCATCACACCAATGATTCGATTTGTGTGAGAGCTGGAATACTTTCCGCACGCCTAAACCAAAGCAGCTGGTTTTCCTAGGGGGCCACTCCCCGGACCATTGACTTGGAGATCTAGTCCATAAGGCAGTGGAACATCGTAAGGAGATGCAGTCCCATGGTAGCCGGCGACCAACGATTGATTCATACTCCATTCGTCCCTCAGGATACTGGAGCCCATGTGTAGCATTGGTTTGGAACCAGGGTTTTCCAACTCCCCTAAGTCGGTCCTCCATATCCACCAACCCATTTTAAATACAGGACATTCACTCTTCATCCTTTCAATTTCGTAAAATACACCCCCGTCACGAGAAGGCAGTGAGTAGGACTTCTCTGATAATGTCTATATACGCGTAGCCATGCGTGGGCATGTTGAGAAGGAGAGCAGGCTCTCCCCACCCTCGACAGCACCAGGGCATTTTGGGGTTGCTAAAAGATTCTCGTATAATTTTTACATAAACTATTTTTTTTTACTACTGTTTCTTTGTTATTACAATCTATTGGAATATGCATTATTCTCAATCCTTGTTTTGCTTTAGAAAGAGTAGAGTGTAGTATAGTATCTAAGAAATAATAAATGATAGTAGAAGAACACAACAGAAATCTATACTCAGAGCTTCTCTTCGATTGTTTTCAACCACCTAACACTGAATATTTTTTATCAACAATCATTTGAACTAGGAATCATATTGTATGCAACGTGATCGATAGGAGTCGGTCAACATTACATCGGCTACTATTTAGTGATTATTTAGTTTAAGAAAATAAAGACTGTTTCCAAATGAAGACTGGGACAAACAATATCAATTAACGTAAATATGTTTTGGAGATATTTACTTCTAAAATAAAACGTACAGTTACATTTACCTTTCAAAGCTTTATTTCTTTATACTTGAAATGATCGTGAATTTTTGCTTTTTAACGTTTCACTTTATCTCCACAATTCAGCTCAAGACTGGTAGATCCTGTGTTCGAATCTCGCGACTGCGGGATCGTGGTTGCGCACTGCTGAGGAGTCCCATAATAGGACGAAACGGCCTTCCAATGCTTCCAGGTTTTCCATGGTGGTCTACCGTCAATTGACCCATGATTTCAACTATGAAAATATATCTGTATTGTAGATGGGCAGAGATAACTCATGGCAGATATTTTGTATTTCTATAGAATTTATACTAATTCATGGTCACTGTTACTGTTAGGAAGTTCAACCATATTGAGAGGGAAAAAGATAACTTACCGATAAGACTGCGATAGTAGTAGTGCTATATCATGAATTGAATGAAAATGAAAATTTAGACAAACAGATACCTATTTTAATGATTTGTAATGATTTTGATTTTCTGTGGATTCTGGGATAAGTCTGTTATAGTCCGTAGTGTGCTGTTCAACTAGCCCCCAAATGCCCTGGTACGGCCGAGAGTGGGGAGAGTCACCTCTCCCTCTCGAAATACTCTCATATGGCCAGCGAATATATAGCCTCTGCCAGGGAAGTCCTGCTCACTGCCTTCTCACAGTGGCATTACTGTTGTTTACGAAAGTGAGAGGACGAAAAGCGAATGTCCGGCGCTTTAACCGGGTTGGTGGACACGGAGGGTCCACCTAGGGGAGTTGGAAAACCCTGATTCCAAACCAATGGTGCACATGGGCTCCAGTATCCTGAAGGAACAAATAGCGTACGAATCAACCGTTGATCACCGGCTACTATGGGACTGTATCTCCCCACGATGCTCCACTGCCTTGTGGATCAGACATTCAGGTCGAAGGCTCGAGGTGTGGCCCCCTAAGAAAACCACCTGCTTCAGTTTGGGCTTGTGGGCAGTATCACAGCACTCACACAAATCGAATGAGATTTGTGAGGCGCATATTTATCTGGTGCTTCCCCTTGTACCAATATTTATGTGTTTAAATAAATAAATTAATAAATTCAACTACAAATACATACACAATTCTTATACGCCTGCCGAATCACCAACAGAAGCGGAAAGATTGAGAAGCTTTCATTGGGAAACCGAATAATGTGTGTACAATTCATGGGTATACATACATCTTTCATCCTGACCCAAACGAAGACATATTGGATAAAGTCTTCACTAGGTGCACAATCAACTTCGTTTAACAGCGTGTCTTGTTTATCATTTCCCATCTATCGTTTGACCTTGTGCTAGCTTGTGGGGATGGGTGCATGATATGTCTAGATTTATCCATCCTGTTAAAATTGTGTTTAGGTTCTAAGTTGACCATTATTACGAAGTGTTGAGCTAGAACCAAAGAGCTGTTTAGCGTTTTTTTTATTCCGTGGTTCTGCAGGTAAGATCGGCCTGTAGTAATAATTTTTGAAATGTTTCAGTTAGATTTTTTTTTAGTACATAATAAGCAACGATATACTAAACTAAAGATACTTTAGTAAGTTCTTTGGACATTCCATGGATTATGGAAATAATAATTGTTCTATTACTAAACAGTAAATGAAAAAGGGAACTTATGGAAAAGAATGTTTAGTTTTTTTTAATGATAATAACAGAGGTATTTCTGTATCTTCAATTCGTTTAACACTTAAAAATCTTTTCATAGTTGAAATCATGAGTCAATTGAAGCTAGATCACCATGGAAAACCTGGAAGCACTGGACGGCCATTTCGTTCGATTGTGGGACTCCTCAGCAGTGCGCATCCACAATCCTGCACTCGCGAGATTCGAACCCAGGACCTACCAGTCTCGCGCCAGAGCCCTTAACCGATAGACCACTGAGCTGGCATCCAACGGTGTTAATGTCTAAATTCAACTGATCCACGAAGTTGAGCAACCGTTCACCAATTGTCTTCAGTGAGTTGATATCTCTACAACAGACTTGGTAGAATTCATGATTTTTAACTATGAAAATACTAAATTCTCCACAAAACCTTTTCTGAAATTAAAAGTCTATCATTCTGTTAATTTACTTTGTCTCTTTTTTTTCCCTAAAAAACGTCATCCTCATCACAATCCTACTTATTCTGTTCTTATTTCATATCATAGATTAGATCCATCAGGAAATGAAGTCAAAAAAGGTAAACGAACCATATTTAGTTGTTTTCGTGAATCATGAATACATAACTAGGGATAAGTGAATGTTAATTAATGCTTTTTGTCTATATTATCATTAACCAGAATATTTATTATTATTATTATTATTATTATTATTATTATTATTATTATTATTATTATTATTATTATGTTATCCTAAATCATGAAGTTGAACTGCAAAAAAATAATAAAAAAAATTCTAGACTACCCTACCCTGTTATCTCTGATCCCCCCTCTCTATGTACTTCACTTACCCATTCATTCGTCTTTCCATGATCTCTATACAAGCGCCATTTTTGCTTTTATCAAAATTCAAATGTATTTTATTTATATTAGCTGTTTATTTTATTTTCCGGTTTTTCTTTTTAAAATTTACTTCCATTATATAATATTTTTGTCATTAATTCCTTATTGTTCATATCAATGACCTTATTATCTTGACAATAAAATAACCTTGTTACTACCATTATTATTATTATTATTGCTTGATATATTATCGTTGTTAATTTGTTTATTGTCCGCGAGAATTTCCCATTTCATTCTTACTATCGCAGTTAGTATTTAGCAATTTTTCCCTTTTTTCTTCTCTCTAAAAAGAGTAATTCAAAGGAATGTTTATTATTATTATTATTACTACTACTACTACTACTACTAATAATAATAATAATAATAATAATAATAGTCAGTCAGACAGTTACAACGTAGAACTTCGTACGTACGTACATCAGTTCGAGTTGCCATATCACATCAGCACAGAGATGCAGTTGTCGATTCAAATCACATAGTGGTAGAAGTAGTAAGAGTATAAGCGGTAATCGGAAAGATTAGGGTTTGAAAATGTTATTGAAGGAGCATAATTCAATGAAATAAAATAGGAAAGAGAAAAAAAGATACGGACACGAAGAATTCAGAAGATTAGAATTAGGGAGAACACAAAGAGTGGATGCACCTTCGCCATTGCAAACGATTTTGAGCCATATCATTCAATTTCTCTAACCATCGATTTCTATCATCTCGCGAATTTCAACCAGGTAGTCTACACCTACAAGCCTGGCTCAGTTCACTTGTCAGTGAGCGACCTCATGGATTTGTGCCACGTTTTGGTCTGACCGCCCATAGCTTTCTTCCAACCTACTCCTACACCATTAAACATTGCACGTCGGGGCAGTCGGTGGTTGGGCATACGTAACACATATCCTGTCCCAGCCATCTCAACTGATGAAGTTTCACTACTTCATCCATTGATTTGCCGTTTTCTAACAACTGCATTACTTACCCGGTGGTCCCAGGATATACAGGCAATGCTTCGAAGACACCTATGATCGAAAACTAGTAGCCTGCGAATATCCTCTACTCTTATCGGTCATGTTTTACTACCATAAAGTAGGACGGAACAAACTGCTGCACAGTAAACCCGTCCTTTTGTTGCTAGACGAATATCTCGCCTACACCATAAATGACGCAAGTTGGCGAAAGCTAAACGAGCCTTCTGTATCCATGCTGAGATTTCAGATAGAATATTTTTATAATGTCGCTTTGTTTTAGCTAATTTAGTCTAATAGAATTCTGTTATTGTAGACTCAGATATTTTATGTATCTGATTAATATTTACACTTTTGTAGTTGATATAATCAATATATAATACGATTACTATTACCAGATTGTTTGAATCAGAGTTAATGTCATAGAATTCAGACCAGTTTTTTTTCTGGTTAAGGTTGTTATTATTTCCAAGAATTCGATTTTAACAACTAACTTGTATTAAATAATAGATAAACCAGCTCATTCATTGATCTGTTGTTTAGTACAACTACCTGTTAATACAGATAAAATAACTTTAAATATTGTTTAATGTAGCACACGAATCCATTAGATTCAAATTATTGGTGGTAATGTTACATTATAAAATGATAGTAAATATTAACGGATATACTTGGAGTAGAATCTAATGAATTTGAATGTGTTTCAAAGGTTTTATGAAGTGAGTAAAAACTAAATGAGCCCCCAAATGCCCTGGTACGGTCGAGAATGCGGAGAGCCCGTTCTCCCTTTCGAAATGCTCTCATATGGCCACACGTATATAGCCTCTGTCTGGGAAGTCCTACTCACTGTCTTCTCGTGGCGGGGAATTGTTTACGAAATTGAGAGAACGAAAAGCGAATATCCGGCGCTTTAACCGGATTGGTGGGCACGGAAAGTCCACCTAGGGGGGTTGGAAAACCCTGATTATCAACCAATAGTGCACATGGGCTTCAGTATCCTGAGGGACTAAATGGCGTATGAATCAATCGTTGGTCACCTTCTACTATGGGACTGCATTTCCTCACGTTTCTCCACTGCCTTGTGGATCAGATCTTCAGGTCAAAGGGTCGGGGTGTGGCCCCCTAAGAAAACTGCCGGCTTCAGTTTGGGCATGTGGGCAGTATCACAGCCCTCACACAAATCAAATAAGATTTGTTTGGCGCATCTATATCTTGTGCCCCTTTTCTACCAATATTTTGTGTTTAAATAATAATGATAATAATATGAGATGAGAGCTAACACATACATATACTTCAATATTCGTTTTTCCACAATTATAGAACGTCCATCATTAAGTATGTAAGATATTTTTCTGTCGGTCTTTGAAAAGTGTCTAATATCATTGTAAAAACAGTGTATGCTGGTTATAGTATAGCAGTAAACTATTCTTGGGATGTTAACACTTCTCTTATACATCTAAATCAGTTACCATTTGTTTTATTCAAATGTCAATTCTCCTTTAAAAAGACAGTTATCTCTTAGTTGATGAATTTAGTTTAAAACATCAAAAATCTTTATATGAACGATTTCGTTAGAGTTAATCGTCTACTATATTAAGAGACATTACAAACATAATCTCATTTCAAATACTTAGAGAATGTTTGAAAGTGTGTAATAAGATCACCTAGTATATTCCTGGTTGTGAGTGCAGTCCACAGGTGAAGTTGAGGAAGCTCAGAAGGAGCCGAACATATTCCACCCAATTAGCTTTTGGAAGAATATTGCAGAATCACTACGTGTTGCTTCCCTATTGGACAATGTTAATGACCCCATGTGTGAGGGTCGGATAACTATAATGGTGATTTCGTTTTTACTAAAAACTATAAATACCTGACAGTTTTTTTTCCATAATTGACACTGTTTGGAATAACATTCCTTCCAATTGTCTTCTGTCTTCTCGTTTTGCGACTTGGGAAGGTTCTAGCGTTCGAGTACTTAAGTTATTCGTGACATATTAAGAATATAAGTTCGAGATATAACACAGGTCTAATAATATATTTGGCTATGGATGAATAGACTCCTTCAAAACTCTTTCATCTAAACTTTATTACAATTTCATTTATTGAAAATTTACTGCTATCCAACAAATTATTCGTGTCTTAATCTTAAAATATATTTACTAATATCTCATAATTTACATTACCAACTGGTCTTTGTGAAGCGACTACCAAAAGCCAGGAAGCAATAGATATCTGTTTCATCATAGTATAGGACACCTAAGTAATGTGTATCAATCACTCCATCCAGTATCGACTTCAGGGCCTTTGATATCGCGTCGAGCGCCTGACCCTTGAGTCGGCATCCAATAGTGTACTTGTGTAACTTTAATCAATTTGCTGTATATTGTGCGACTATCTTCAGATGCTTGTGATGAATGAATGTCTCTTACCTGACATAGTTGGACTCCACTTGTCATGAATTTTCACTAGAACTCGTGGAATTACCAGCTGAATTCAATATTTAGTGAGCACAAATGCTCTATACTCATATTAATATGTCAAGCAATATTGGGTACTGGTTAGCTGTGGAATCTAGACACGTGTTTCGTCCTACCTAGGACTCGTCAGACGGCTATACCTGCACACTAGTGTTGATGCCCACATCATAACTCAAACCCAGTACCTTTTACTTTAAAGGCTCAACATCAGTCACTATCCAACTCTGCTTAAAATGCTTATGGTACAGTGGCAATATCGAATCAATTCTCATAGAATCGGCATATACTAAAAGAGGTAGTCCTTAACATCAATAATGTGAAAATTTGAATAACCCTTGCAAAGGAATCAATAATAACATATTTCAGCAACTGTCGATTGAATTGAACTTTTCGGTTTGTATGCAGTTGTGAGAAGAGAGTAATCGAAAACAAATAAGTTGCTATTTCTTGTTGTGTTTAGACCGACTTTTATTCTTCACCTTAATAAATCTTAAGTCTGTAAATAAAAATATAGAAAAACATCATTTCAAACTCCTATTTCCTCAAGTAACTAGGAAAGTTTAATGGAAGATATGACTTGATTCTATAAATTGTTTAAACTATACTGAATATTGTAAACAGAGATAGATAGTGGCTAGCAGTGGAATCCAGGACGCGCGTTTCGTCGATGGGAAGATCCAAACAAACAATAGTAAGTGAATATACTGAACATTGATTAAGAAAATTTTTGAAAATAAAAATTTATTTTTGTGTATATAAGTTACTAACAAGTAGTGTATATGCTAAGAAGGTGAATCTGATTCAGTGACAAGTTATATCTTACACATAAGGCAGTGAATTTATTGATTTTATAAGTTACATACACACACACATTAGATTACTAATGGACTAGTAGTTCAATGTATTCGAATTTACTTAAAGACCCAGTGGCGAGACTATAATTTATGGACGACCTTTGAGAGAATCTAAAGTGACCTTGAGAAATGTTAAACAGTCAGCATAGAGTAAAAATATATTATACAAAACCAAATAATTAAAGTGGATACACTTCTTTTATATGATCCAAAACCTTGTCAAGGTTAGAAAAAGGTTCAAAGATTCTAAAATCGTAATGCATAAGGTAGAGGAACTCATCCATATGGCTTCATAATAGTTGGTCTCTGGAGCCATGATAATTTCACAAAAGCCCTCTCAGCCTCGACCACATAGGTTCATTATTGTTTACGTGTACTCCGGTTGTGTAAG